AAAGGTAGGAATATGTTGTGTGTCCTTTGTAAGGAATTCAGTGAGCTCAGCTACAAGCAGTTGTCAGAATGGAGCTTCATAGCAGGCGCTCATTTTTTGAAGAGCAATGGAGAAGTCTCAAAAACCAAAACCAGTATGATTTCCCAATTTGTTATTTTAATAAACATGTGGTACATCTATTAAAAAACTGTATTGAATATAAGAAATTACAAAATGCAATCTGTGTTTTTAGATTGTATTAAAGAAACCATTACTAAGATGATGTGTGGCTTTGATTTTGAGACTTGAAAGAAGTTGTGCACACATTCTAGACTATCCCCCTGAAACTAGAGCCTTCTGATTGTTTAGAACATTGTTTATTTTCTTTGTGATTTCTTTTTGATTGTTTAGAATATTGTTCATTTTCTCTGTTCATCTTTCTTTTTCTTTTTTTAAAGAAGAAAGGGTGAGATGTCGTACTGAAAACTAAACCTTCTGATCTTGTTTTCATAGTTTTAGTTACTTTCCCAGGAATGCAACTATAAACATAAGTTGTTTATACATTCCTTCTAAGAAACGGCCTTTGATGGATGTTTTGCATGACCAGTGTGACTGGGAAGGTGGTAAGTTAATTATCCAATCCCTGGTCATTGCCGAGAATCTATAAATACTGGAGTCAGAAAATAAAGTTGCTTCTTTTCCTGTCATACCACTGAGACATGTTTGTGTGAATCATTCCGTGTCCTTTAGTGATACTAGACTATGTTTGAAAACACACAGGAGCTATTCAAAACTAAGAAAATTGGTGGTGACATGAAAGCAAAGGATCTCAAAGTATTTTGCTTTTATTTATGAAGAAGATGGATAAGATACAGCTTTCAAAGCAGGAAACTTCTGCTAATATGAAGGTATTTAATTTAGCATAAAAAGATGTAATGAGATGCAAAAGCTTGAAACTAAAGCTAAATGTATTGAGTCCACATATAGTATGACATTCTTAATAGTGAGGATAACAAACCACAGAAGCAATACACTTCAGAAATCAAAACATAGAATATCTCATGTAAAGAGAGAAAAAATCAGTTTGAACCCTAGTTTTTTACTTAGGACTTTGGCATTTATTTAGGACTTAGGGCTCTGGCATTAATTTCTACCAGAATATGCACTGTCCTTAGTAGACAGAAAATTAATGTATATGAGACTTGGAGAAACTCCATGAGGGAGCTGTAAAAATATGTATTCCAGGAACTGAAAGTAGCTATGTACAAAACTGCAAATCTAGGTGCTAAAGGTGCTGTTTCCATAATCGTTATCTTTTGACAAGATCCATCCTGTGACACGGATACAGCTGACAAACCTTCTGGTTGGTTTAGTTGGTCAGTGTTGTGGTTGAATTCTTTGATCATTGTAATACTTGATTATTTAGATAAATCTGTTGGTGCTTTTTAAACTGATAAATCACTCAATTCAGTGGAATAAGTCTTCTGCAAGAAAAAGCCACCCTATATTCAAGTTATAGCCTAAGTCAATGCTGCAGTTGGTTTATGTAATGGAGTAACACCAGCCCACAAGCATCTGCTCTTGAGGTGCTGTATAGTCCTACTCAAACATGTACCAGTCAGTACAGATCAGATGACAAGGACTCTGAGCAGCAATGCTGCTTTTGCAACACCCCACAATTCCCAAATGTTTTAAAGGAGAGGCTGTAAATGGAGATTTCCCATTTCGGTGTGTATCATTTTAATAAAATAGTAGATGTAAGACCATGGTTTCTGCTTAATAATTATAACCCTTTGCTGTAATGTTCATTTGTGTCCATAAATTGCTCTTAGTCATGGAAGAAGTTAGTTAAGTACTCAAAAAAAGTTAGAGCTGCTTATTTACATAGCTTGGTGTCATTTTCTTCTATGGAAGAGATTTGGTTATGAAAAAGGTGCCATATGTGATTTAGGAGTTTTTACTTGACGGGGGATATCTGCTAGCTGCCTTGGAAGGAGGTTCTTTATGACACTGTATCTTCACTTCCTTGCCCCTGCAAAGAGGAATGAATCAGACTGCAGTCCATGTTATTGCCAAAAGATTTCATCTCACGCTACTAAAGAGTCACTGTCTTGATGAAGGAAAACATGTCCTACCTCATCCCCTTCTGATCCTAAGAAGTTAAATACTTGCTGCAAGTGACACTGGTCTCAACTTCATGAGTCAATTCTGAAGTATCTGCACTTCTGGTTCTCAGTGAACACCAAAGACTTGCAAGTCTTTGGATTCCATTAGTACTAACCTCTGAGAAGAATGAGACACATCAGATGTGTGTGTATCACATAGTGAAAATGAGTCATGGAAGAAAAAAGCTGTGGGGTACTGTGGAAAGTGGTCAAAGATCATGCTATGAAAAGATTTGGTCACTGTTACCTCTCATCATGAATGTAATCATTCACTGGCAACTTTGATTTCCAGGACGTGAGAGTGTAAATTCTTGGTTACTAATGCATTATGCTGTCATGGAAGTCTGCATCTTGGAAGATGAATCCAAGTACTTAAAATTAGTCATCTTAGCAACCAATTTTTTCCCAAGTAATTATAAGCTTTGGAATATCAGAATGTTGAAACACTCAATGAAAGGTGTTGCATACAAGTGAATGAAGAGAAAAAAAATCCTGTTTCACTTTCACAGATCTTAAAACCAGGATTAAATGTAGTTTTCAGAAAGAATGCTTTTCTTTTAGAATGTTATTACTGTCATAGTTTTACTACTTGATGTACAAAATTCTAATTCTGCTTGTTTCACTCTATATCCCAAAAGACATCCAGACTTAGTTTTCATCTTCTTCCCTTTTATCTGTAAATTAGGATAATCTGACATGGCTTTGAAGGCCCCTGGGAGATCCAACATACTGATAAGAGAGAAGATAGTGACTAGCTTTTATTCTTGAAACCCATGGTGTCTACTTTGCAGTATTTATATGTATTGGTCCCACTTTTAATATCCTCAGAGATACTCCATTCTCCCTGATAGCAGAGTCATGATTTAATGAAAAAAAGTAAAAAGAATAAAGTCAATCCAAAGCCTGAACTGTAGGTATTTCTTCTGCTGTATATCCTGTTGTAATACACTGCTATGAAAAGATTTGATGAGGTAAGGTTGTACTTCTCCATGCTTGGCAGCAAAACACAGAATTTGCAGAAGATGGGCTCAAGTGCCAAGAACATGTGCCAAGTCATCATATCTCTTCAGCTCCTTCTGCTGGAGGGACCTCACTGCAGCTCCCAGAATGTTTGAAAACCATCAGCAGTCAGTGCTAATGCTGCTATTTAAGCATCAGTTCTCACTTCAGGGCAACTGGCCAGAATGAAGCAGACAGCACAATTTCTCTCTTATTTTAGTAATTTGTGAGTACTTTAGTAATTTGTATTTCAGGGTGAACACTGATGCATATAAATGTGAATTTTTGGAGAGTGCTTTATTTGTTTGGGATATGCTGAGTGAAATCATTTACTTTGTTAGGATGTTTCCTAGAAAACTGACTTAGTGTGATACTGATGCTGAAGCATCGACAGACGCTTCATCAGGGCAATGCAGTTCTAGTTTTCGTTAAGGACAATCATTAAGTGGTGCCATGTATTTGTACTGAGTATTAAACTCAGGTTAAAAGGAAAGAACTTACCTGTTAAAAGTTCCAGTTAGCCTGAAATCCCAGGTGGGTTGGTTACTTGCTTGATTGGTTTTGGTACCTTTTCTCACGTCACAAGAAGTGGTTGTTAAATGTTAAAAAAAAAAGAGTGCCACAGAACAGTCATTCAGAATGGACCAGAGGATTACCATCAACTCCTAGAAAGTGCCTTGGACTACAATAGATCTTTATTGTCTATTTTGAATAGGTTGTTTAAAAGATTCAGGTTTTTTATTATTTTGTCAGTTATTATTGTATCCATGACTACAGTTTGGGAACAAGCAGCAAATGGAGTTACTTCTTTTGCCCTCCCTTGCTGTTCTGGAATGTAGTTACAGTGTTTTATACACAACTTTTCATCTCCATCTTACAAATAGAGAAATGAAGGCTCAGGTAAGAAAAAAAATTTTTTTCCCTTAAAGTTATCCAACAGACCAGTTGACAAAATCAAGAGTAGAGTTCAGGTCTCTCAAGGTTACTGGTGCCCATTAAAGCTGCTTGTTTAACAATTGAAAGAGCAATTGCTTAATACTTGGAACTTCTAAACCTCAAATTTGGTAATTAATGGATTATACTTTCTGGAGGCCAATATTGGAATGGTTTACTGTACATCTTTCTCCTGTGAAAGGGGAAGTAAAGATTCTGACATTTAACTGCAGCTAAAATAAGTGGGCTTCTTTTGGTCGGGATCTTACAATATGCTAATATGATTATATATTACAAGTAGATCAAGCTCTATGTTGTAAAATATTGTTTCCAATAATAATCCTGATATTTTGAATATGTGGTGTTTTCATATGGTTGCTAATAATATATTTTGTATTTCTCCTTTTGTTTTACTTGTGATCTTCAGTAATTTTCTAGAAAAACAGTTTCTTGCTAGAGTCTCTGACTCAGATGGGAATGACCATCATCCTCTAAGTTAGGGAGATGACAATTTAGCATGCACAGAAAAAGACATGAAGACAATGGATAAAGATCTATATTCATTATATGGCCAGTCTTGATAAGTTCCAAAATCTGTTACATTCATGTGTTATATAAACCAATAATGTATAAAAATAAATTAAAGATGCATCTGCTGAATTTATGTGTTAATTCATGTACTTTGTTTCACAGGAAAAAAAAATGGGCAAGAACAGAATACTCACAGTTGCATGTTTCAGGCTGCTGATGTTGGTACTTTAATTAGAATAGTGGAATGTCAGCATGAATTCTTTTGTTTTACAGAAAGCAAGAAGAATTGAGGTTAATTAAAGGTTAATTAGAGTTTAATTGGTAGTTCTTTCTTTCCCTCTTTACTTCTGGTGATAACAGTAATGTTAGAATCCTTGACTTTGATGGCAACAGATTGGGCAGGCCTGGTGTTGATTGCTACTGCCAGCATGAAAGTGGTGCTGCAGTTCTGCAGCTCCAGTTCTTAATCAATGAGGTAAGGACATATTTACTCAGATTCTTCTGTATACATTTAGTTGCATAAGTCAATTCATGTTATTGTAATTGAGTGATATAACTTCTCCCACTGACAAATTGTGCCAAGAAGTAAGTGGTGTACATCCAGAGGACATTCAACATACAGCCTTTTAGAAGAATATTTATGGTACTGCACTCAGGGAAAAGCATTGCTTTCCTATACATCAGTTTAAAATACCTAACAAAAGGCAGTAAATACATGAATGTGTGTAAAATTATGTAAAACCCATTAAGTTACTAAATATGATGCACAGTCCTGGTTCAAATAGAAATTAATAAATGAGCTAAATCTTTCTGTCAAAATATATTGATAATTATTGGCTGAAAACTCAATATTTGAGGATATGGTATTGCATGAAGCAATGCAAAGCAATTGCAGGGATTGTTAATCAAGCCATCATGCTTAGTCTTTGTAAATGGTTTGTCAAAATCAAATTTAGACAACATGAAGAAACAGTACCAGATTATAGCTTGGTCTGTGCAGAAGGTTGTGAAGATGGGAACAGGCAAGAAGACTTTCTGGTGAATACAAATCAGAGGGGACTTTTTTTTAAGACCTTAGAAGTTGGCCAAATCTTAGTTCAGTTTTGATTAATTTTCTCCCATGACATAAGGAAAAACTTCTGACAGTTTCAAGTCCTCTTTGTAAATGGGAAGATCTTAGAACTTCACAGGGGAAGAGTTTTAGTTTTATGACTTTTTTAAACCTGAAAAATATTTATTTTTTCCTACATCTATTTGGAAAAAGTAACTGAACCACAGACACTGAGGAGGCAGGACTGAAGCTTTAGAAACAGAATGGTGAAATTCTTAAGAGGAATGCAGGGATGAGAACAGGAAGGACAAAGTTTGAATCAATATTTTCTTTTCATGGATGACCAGCAAACCCCCTAATACATGGGATTAATTTGGTTGCTGTGGTGGACAGTCTTTCTGACTCTTTGGGAGATGAGAATTAAAGCATGGATTACACTGTATTAGAGAAGTCTCACCCCTGTAAATTTCATTTGCATAGGTCAGTGTTGAAAAGAACATTTGCTAGGATTAGAGAAGATTGTCAGTCAGTCATAGATAGCAGGAACTAATCTCTCCAGTTACATCTTTGCCCTTCCTCAGTATAAAGCATTGCCTTGTGTTTGGGCAATCTGTTCCTCTCTGCAATGGTATTACACAAGGGTAGATCTGTGCCTGGCCTGATCTGAGGTGTAAGTATACTAAACCACTGCTGGAGTAGTAGGGAGCTTCCCCTGCAGGTAATTCTCACATGTCATCAATGTTCTGTGGTGAGGAGAAAGGAAGTCAAAAGCAGGTAGAAGTTGACTCCAAGCTTCTCAGTCAGATAAAGGCCTGGGTTTTGAAAGATGACCATTTTTGGGACGCCACAAGCAGAACCAGAGTATTTCTGATCTGTGCTAAAGACTCTGTCCTTCTGTCTACATCTCTTAGTTCTTCCTACGTCCTGTCCTCTTGCTACCTGTCCCTGCTTTCTTATCTGCACCCTCTTTTCACAGTTCCAGTTTTGAATTTTCATCTTGCCTTGATATGACCACTAAGCTGTGCTTGGCACTGTCATGTGTGTGCCCATGCATGACCAATCCCTTTATCCTTCAGTTACATCCTATACACTCACTTTTTTCAGTAAGGTTTTTCCATTTTGTTAATCTTTCTGTGTATGTGGAAAGTCTTGAGAGTTGGCTTGTGTAATCTTGGTACAAAGTTTTAATTTGAGTTTTAAATTGATGGAGTTGTAATTTAACTTTGGCTGATCTTGTACTAATTTAAAATGTTTACATTAACAGATCGATTCAATTGTGTATTATTTATGGTAGAGTATTTTTGTTCTAGAAGAAAGGAATGATTTTTCATAAACTCAGTTTTACAGATAGATCTTTAGCAGTGAGGATCATGTAAGAATAAGACAGAATCTGCAGAAAAATAATGTGTTGCTTTATTTTGTGTCTGCTCTAGGGTGCTTTGGTCAGTGCGTGTGCAGATGATGCCCTTCATTTGTGGAACCTCCGACAGAAACGACCGGCTATTCTACATTCTCTGAAATTTAACAGAGAAAGGTAAGACTATATGACACAAAATAAAGATCTCATTACAAAAATAACACTTCCTGGATTTTTTATCATACATTTTGCCTTTCTACAGGTGGATATAGATTTGCTTTGAATATTTTTCTTTCAGGTTTGTTTCTATGGAGCAAAAACTTCACTTTCTCTTTCTGCAGCTTTCTTGGAACTAGAAAAATCTGGCCTTCTTTTTGCCAAAATGTTCCTCATTTTACTTCTATTTTCATGGACTGCTGTGAACAGTAATTTGTTTTTTTCTTCAAACTGGACACAAGCACTCACTTTTGGCTGAACTGTTGTTTAGTAATAGACAGAGTACTTCAGCTAGCTGTATGAGGGTAATAATTATTTTCTTTACCTTGAAATATTTTTGTTTTTGTAAAATACTGGAAGTTTAGCAGAAATAGGTTGTGAATTTGGGAAACTCTGGTAAGTGTCCAATAAATCAGAGTGTTTTTCTAAATTTTACTTTAACAGTACCTAATTGTAGAAATCCTTACTGAAAATAGATTAATTGAGTGGTTGTAATTTTCAAACTCCAACAGGAGCTGAGCACTTCAATCTGTATTTAGTCATCCAAGTAAAACGTGATGTTACGGAACTTCAGTGCCGCATGTCTATTAATAGTGAGAAAAAGTTCCAAGTTTCTATTAAGGAATTAGGACAGTAGTTAGGAGACCAAGATTCAGTGCATAAATGCAGCAGTTGTTTTTAACTGGAAGTTTAACTTGTATTTTCATTCTCTTAGTATATGCATTCAGTGTTTAAGGGGCAGCAACTTTTTTTGATATCTATATATTTTCTTGTGCAGTGGGGAAAGATATCAGTCCTTCACCAGAGCTGTGAACAGACTCATCAAATCTTTAGCTGCAGAAAATCTGAAAATTATTATGGAAATACATTTTTCTTTGTTGTTTATTATCCAGATAGAAATCATATTTGCACTAAAATATCACTGAGGTGCGTGATTTGTAGTGGGAAGTACTGTGTAATAATTTAGGAAATACACAGCCTGATTCCAATGAGTTTATAACCTATAACAAAAGTGTATTAAGTGGTTTGGGACTGCATGAGGGAAGAGGAAAATGAAAACTTATGTGTGCATTTTTAGCTGCTTCTGGACAGAAAGTTATCATTTTACTTATGGCAAAATGTTTGAATCTTGCTTTTCTCATCAGGTAGGTGCATTATTCACAATTTGTCATTGCTAAACCTAAATATCATAGCAGTTATTCCAGTACATCTTGGTCAAGCTCTCCTTGCTAGCAATCTGACACACAACCTAACCAATCCCTGCTTGTAAGAATGCAGCCTCTGATCATCTCTGCCTTCTCTTCAGGGATATTAACCTGTTATCTCGGTCATTAATTTGTCAGCATTTCTTGCTAAGAGAAAGTCACACACATTTGTGCTTTGCTAAGAGCAAAACATTTATCATCACACTTGCCTAATTTTCTCTTTCGTCTGACACCCTAAAATATAGGGCAAAATATTTGCAAGCAAGTTGTTTAGAATACTGGAAAACTTTGCTTAAAACTAAATTTTCTCTAATGACATTTTTGAACTGAGGTGCATGTAGGATCTGAGAATTAAAGTTATTTGTAACTAATGCAGAGCTAACTATACTGCCTTTTATCAAAATCTAGTAAGTTGTGAGTAAAAAAAATATTGTTCTTTTATGTGTATTGTGTGTAACTGGTTCAATGCTGCCATTTAAATAATTTTATTAGCACATCAAAGGCTATGAGGCAAATATCAGTAAGTCCAGTAAGTCCAGTTTTAAATTAAAAGATAGTTTTCCATAAATATGAAGAAATAACATTGCAGGCAGTTCATTTCTTCTCAGGGTTCTCTAGCACTGCCCTAAGCTTCTGATTATTTTTTTTTTATTATTCAAGCACTTGGCTTCAGAATTAAATCTCTTCATTTTTACTATATTTTCTTTTTATTTTAATCCACATAAATTTATTTTAAATCATTTAGCTTTCAATTTTCTAAGCTCAATTACACATTTAGTATGTAAAATTCAACATAAGCCTCTGGGCAAGTAGCAAAAAAAGTAAGGCTAAAGCTCTAATTAACCCTCTCCATCTGGAATGTTTATATGCCTACAGTGCTAAGTCTAAAAGAGAACTTTCATTTTTTCTGAATACATTTTTTGTGTTAAGAGAACCAAAGCTCTAAATTATGTGATGGTCAGAGAATAGTGAATGAAATAATGGTTGCCTTAGCTATATGAAATCAATGACAAAATGGATGTAAGGGGAACTTGAGAAGATGATAAAGTGATAAGATCAGAATTGATTTTCTTAAAGAAATTAAAAGATCTGTCTTCCAAAAAGTAATGTTTTCCTCACTGTGGGAATAGTTAAAAATATTTTATTTTCATCCTCCCCTCTCCTCTTGCAGGGTTGGGGTTAAGAGAAGGCAAGATTCATATTGAATTGAGATTCTTCTGTCTTAAGTTTGTGAACCAGTGAACAAGCTGATTTTAAAATGTTTCTTAAATGGGGAGAAATGCCTGTTGACAGAATATAGGTTTAAAATATTGATGCATGTTTTCAGAAAATAGTACGGTATTGAAAGATGCCATATAGGGAAGTGTTTTGAAAGTCAGAGGCTAGTTCTTCTAAGATTATTTCTAATATAACTTAATTTTAGATTTAGGTAGCTTTCACAGAGACAAACACATAATTGTTCAAATGCATTTTATCGATGAAAATGGAACATCTGAATCCTTTCCATTTTTCTATTTGCATGTGTCTCTTCAGGATTTTTAAAAAAAATTGTTTTATTTATCCAGTATGTTTGTCTCCTTGTTACACTGGTTTAGTTTTTTTTTTTAACAAATGGCAGGTTTACCTCATAAAGTAATGCAATATAATGTACTTATCTGCTTGTGATGATGATGATGATTTTATTATTTAAAATGCTTGTTTTATTTGACTTTGTTTAATTAACTTTCGTGTAGAATCAGTTTATTCTGAATTTTTGTGGTATTTGGTGCATGAACCATAGAGCAGGTAGTTTCTGTTAGACAGATGAATGTTACTTAAATCTTTGCCTATTACTCACAATGCAGCAGTCATCATGTAGTTGAACTATTAAATTTGAAATTTTCTTCTGCTTCTTGACATTTAAGACTTCAGGATAATGGACTAAAATCTGCTCTTTAGCAGGGTTTCTGTATAGGTTTCTGCAATTACTAGAGTCAAGTTTCCCCAAGTCCATGCATACATATATCCCCTCTTTCCCTCCCACAAAAGTAAAAAATGTTTGTTCTTTTCTTTGGATGTTGGTAAAAACATAGTTGTAAAGAGGAAAGAACACTTCAATGCAGTAGTCTTTGAATATGTAAGATTCAGTATTAAGACACTGAATGGTTTATGAATAATTATTCACTAACTAAGTGCACCTTTATAGCCATTAAATCAGAGTTTGCAGCCTCTCCAGATTTAGTTTTTTCTTCTTCTGACCTACTGTTAAACTAATGATGATGCAGCACTAGCAATAATAATTTATCATTCACTGTTCCTTTACTAAGTGTCTCTTTGGAGCAAGTTTAGAAGGAACACTAAAGAGATTTAATGGCAGACAGATATTTTCTGTTGTATGGTGTAATGCTCTGGACTTTTTTGGACTTAAGCAAATTATACGTTTTTGCCAAAAAGTATATATTTATTTTATATGAAGTCATCATCTTAGATTTCTATTACTATAATTGGAATGTAATACAATACACTAAGAACTTTCAAGAAAATACAAATGTAAGCAATGTGTTTCAGTGCTTGGCTCCATACCGGGAGCTGTAATGATAAGACAGTTACTCAAAGACACATTTGACAGTAGCATATGGTTCATAATATATGATTTATGGTTTCTTTTACAAATAGTGCAGACAGGTAAAACATTTTAAACTCTGTAAATATTCTATAAGAATTACCTCAATGTTTTTGAAGGTCAAAACTGTGGACACCTTCCATATGTTAGTACCTCTTTTTCCTTCCTTGATGTCATAGGAGATGCCAGATTGACCTTCAGTAGGCTTTTTAAGCAAAAGAAATAACTCAGCTACTGGAACTAGACACCATCTCTATCTGCTGCAAAGAACATTAGGATTAAGCAAAACCACTGGGAACTATTATAGGTCTTCATTATTTTAAATATAATCAGAGCAGACTTCAGCAAGTACAGCTTTAAATATACAACAGCTTTATAGATTTCCTTTTAATATAAGTGCAGCGGGGGTAGGAAAAGGATTGTAGTGTGAAATCCAGGTCCTATAAGCCAGCAGGCACTCATTTCACTTATTGACACAGTTCATCTCCTGTCATTCCAAAGCTGAGCTGTTTCAGTTGTGTTGACTGGCACGGGGAAGAGCCCTCCTTTCTTCTTTTAGCCATTGCTGACTGGTGTGTGACAAATGAGCCAATAGTGCTGCAGCAGCTTACCCAGTGACTTACAGCAGCACACATGAGCACAGTGGGACAGTGTTGGGTCTTTAAATCCATCTGCATGCACTCTGCACCAATGCCATGACAAAGCCACAAGTGCCCTTGTGAGGGGAATCACCAGGTGACACAATCACTGTACAACTGGCTTTGAGACTCCTAACACTTTCTTCAGTGTTAAGGGTATGCTGGAACAGAGCAAGAGGAGCCTTTTAAGTTGGTGACTTTTAGAGCAGTTCTGTTAACTGTAACTCACTATTGTAACTCACTATAATTTGACTCCTACAGTTGAGTTCTTGCAGTATTTGAACAAGATGATTGAGAGCATTACTCCAAATGCTCTGAAACAAATTAAAACAAACCAAACCCAAAACAAAAAAATGGATGTTTTTGAATAAAGTAACTTTTCTTAAGTCTATATTCCTTCCTGACAGTAGCTGAATGTTACTGTATGTTTGCAGGATTTTGTGTCCTGTTTTAAGAGCATTCTCTCTTTTGCAGATAAACTTCATCAAAATGACAGCAAGAGGCCATTGAGCGAAT